CATGAAGAAATATCTGTCTTTAGTCTCATACATATTGGCTGTTGCTGACTGTAAAGATTTACAGTCCGGAAATCTGAAGGAGCTGTTCTACTTTGTCGTTTTCAGTCAGAATTGACTTGATGGGAGACGGTCATTGGAATTTAAGCCATCCGGGTTATTGACAGAGAAAAGCTTTAGCTACTTGTTTCTTGCTTACCTATTTGGAAGATAACATTCTTTAATTAAAATTAAAGATTAACCAAGCCCTCAATGATTAGCATGCTTCTCCTTATAATCAAGGGTGGCATAGCATTCCCAGTTGGCCGGTTCTTACTAATGATGTTTTAAGGAGCCTGCAACGAAAGGGTCAAGTTTAAGATTCTCTAACCCTCTGTTCAACATCTCTGGTCATGGCTTTCCTGCTGTTAGAGATTTGTTTGTTTAATGATCAAACGTGGTTTTTATTTCCTACCATTGAGTCTCTCAGAAAGTGGCACAACTAAGTCAATGTTTAACTGAATTCTTTGGGTCTGGAATGACCATACAGGAGCCGAAAGGATGTAACCATGGAAACAAGCTCCTAGGAAGTGGCCCGAGGAAGGAGTGCAGGGTGAACTAGAACTAGAAAGGTGCTGTGAAGGAAATGACTACTTTGTAAAGATGTCAAGACTTCTGAAATCCCTTGATTAGAACAAGCTACTTTACTGGCTCTACCTACCACTGCCACCATGGTTTTCCTTTGAAGGTCTTCAAGGTAAAATGGGCCTAAGCCACTCTAAGGCTCACCCTAGGGTGACCAGAGTAGCACCCCTACAAGACATAGGAGAAGAAGCTTCCTCAGTCTGCTCTGTGGACTTTGCATCCAATCTCAATCTGGAAGAAAATAGTTCACATTCCTTCCCACGACCCCAGGACCAGCCTAAAGCTGTGGAAGGGCAGCTGCCGCCTCTACGAGAGACTTGGTATGGAAGATATTCTGCAGGTAAATATAAAACCCAGTATGGGACTCAGGTATCTGGGCCAAAAATAGTCATTGGTAGATGTGACTGATTGTATTTCTGTATAATCTCGGAAAGTTTCTAAATTACTGAAACATAAGGGACTATCCTTTATTGGGACTGAATATTTAGTAATCAAAAGTTTTATTCTGGGTGTATTGGAACAGATGTGTAAACTATGAAAAGAACTTTACACAATTTCATAAGAAGGGAAAGACTTTGTTTCCATTTAGTTTATAGTGCTTGCAATGTGTATACATGGATTTACCAGGCCATTAAAAATATATCGATATTGATGTGATAAATGATAGCAATCATATGTTTTAGTTAGTCTAAATTTAAATCATTCTTCACTACAGTTCAATGCATCGGGGCTTTGTTATTTTGAAAGTGTCACATTAAAAGTAAATCTATTCTAGTGTAAATTTGGAAACTCCCCACTCCCACCCACCCCCAAAGAAAGCCAGAACAGATCTATTGCAGGACAGATGATTGGATGGGTCACCCCTCACCATATTCTTCATAGTCATCTGCAGAACACTGAGAAGATTATTGCCCACATGATTGGCACCTTTGCGCCTCATGTAGCCATAAATTATCCCTGAATATTTTAAAAGACACATACAATGTTTTATGAGAGCCACATAATTAAATAATCTAACTTGGGAAATACACACACATAGGTGAGTTAAAAAAAAGTACAGCTGCTAGGGCCCCAATTTCATTCATGCATGGCTCTATTCCAAACAAACATGTTTAAAGGTACCTCTGTGATCAGTGGATGGCTACAGACAAGTTCTCACAATAATATGGTTCTCTTCTTCTCACTGGGGGGGTGGGGGTGGGGCTTCAAAAAATGTCAAAACAGTGGCTTCCAAGGGAATCTGCTGACTCAGTTCAATTCAACGCAGCGCGGTCAGTTCAATTCAACGCAGCGCGGTCGGCTCCGAGGTGATGGGGACTGCTGTTGAGATCCCTATGGGTGATCTTGATGGATTCTCCTGAACGACAGGAAAGTCAAGGGAGCTTCTCACGAAGAAGTCTAAGAAAAGTGAAAACTCCATTGGTGAGAAAAAGGCCAGGAAGTATTTTCCCATCATGAAAACACACCTACTGGTTCTTCTGGGATACCAGGGGCTTTCCTGTGAAAAACTTTGGGGAAATTTTATACCACTCACCTTATTGCCCTGATCTTGCCCCTCCCGACCACTTTTTGTTCTGCAAACTCAGAGAACATTTTGAAGGACCCTGAGCCCCCCCCTCCCCCCAAGGATGCCACAGCTGCACGGAATTCTGTGGGAAAGGGTTAGCGAGCTGGAAGCATTGTCCTCAGGAGTGTGTCCTGAGATGAAGGGTTTGTCAAGAGATAATCACTTGACATTTAGATTTTTTAAGAATAAAGGGTTCCGTGATTTTCATGGCAATACTTTTTGCCTTACTCTGGGGGCATGTCTCTGTGTGTGTGTATCTGTCTGTGTCTGTGTATGCTTGTGTGTGTGCGCGTGTTTATGTGTGTGCCTGAGTCTGTCTATATGTATGTCTGTGTCTGCATATGTATCTATGTGTGTCTGTATGTGTGCTTACGTGTGTGTACCTATGTCTATGTGTATCTGTGTCTGTGTGTGTCTATGTCTGCGTGTGTCTGTCTGAGTGTGTGTCTGTGTGTGTATAGCTATGCCTCGCTGTATGGTTGTGTCTGTGTACATGTCTGTATGTGTGTCTGTCTCTGTGTGTACACTTGTTTCTCACTTGTCAACACGTTAGGTTCCAAAGACCAGGTCATTATGCAAAAATCAGCTTTATACGAAACTCGGCTTTATGCAAAAATGGAGGGTGATCACATCTAACCATGAAATAAGGACGGCTACACCATTAAAAAACCTTCAAACGCACTGCCATCAAGTCGGTTCCGACTGACAGCAACCCTATAGGCCAGGGTAGAACCGCCCCGTGTGTCTCCAAGACTATAACCCTTGACAGGAATAGAAAGTCCTGTCTTTCTCCCCAGGAGCAGCTGGTCGTTTTCAACTGCTGACCCTGCAGATCACAGCCCAACATGTAACCACTACATCACCAGAACCCCTGCGACTTCACCGCTACCAACTGCCAGGGTCCATTATTATATAATTGTCAACCCACAGGGAATCCTGGCCCAGCCAAGCTGACACATAATCATAAGCATCAGTATTACTCTCCTTACCTACTTTAAAGTTTGTTACTACCAAATATATATTGATATACAAAATAGTCAAATTGATTTTTCACTATTGCCATACAGGTAAAATGTCAGCTAAGAAACAGGAATATCTATTCCTTCGTGAGTGTGTGTGTGTGTGTGTGTGTGTGTGTGTATACACATTCTGGATCAATAACACAATTAAAATAATTAGTTGTCTTTGACGTGACTCCAACTCCTGGTGGGCTCAGTTATATCCGTGCAGAGCTGGGGTTTGCAATGGCCAAGTTTCCCAAAGTGCATCCCCAGGCCTTTATTCTGAAGTCTCTCTGGGTGGCCTTAAACTACAAACCTTCCGGTTAGCTGCTGAGCACATAATCAATTTACACCATCCACAAAATCCATGACCTAAAATTTCCTTACTGGAGTACTTAGCCTGAATGCTTTATTTTCTCTTCCACCCAGCAGGCCTTACCTAGAATGATCTTCTAGACTAATTTTATAGAACTGATAACTTTTGACTGGTTCTGTATAGTTTTGTTTTATTTTATTTTATATAGTTTGTTTTTATGCTCCCCAACGTCCTAAACACCTTAGTGGAAATTTTCCATACAGTTTCACTGAAAAATTCCTTTTTAAAATTCAAAGCCTCTATCCAGAGTCCCCAGTACTAAATGTGCTAAATTTTGAAATATCAAAATTACATTAAAGATAAATAGCCAGGGAATAGTAAGAGTTTTTTGATTACTATTTTCATGGGACTCATGTTCTCAGTTTCATCAAATGTCAAATTGACGTTCATTAAGTTGCTGAATCCATTTTCTTTACTTCTCAATCAGGGGTCAAAATAATTGCCTGATACAGTCCCCATGACAACCAAATAATGAAGTGCTTTCACTCAAATCATAGCATAAAAATGAGTAGTGAGACCTTTTAAATGTTTTTGTAAAAATGCATCTATTTTTTTAATCTAATATTAAGACATAATCTTTTTCCTTTACAAATTAGAGAAACCCTTTTGTTTAAAAAAAGGAAAAACTCTTTATTGTAAATTGGGTGAAGGTTTACAAAGCACATCAATTTTCCTTTAAACAGCTCATCTACATTTTTTTCATGTCCTCCATTGTAATCCCCACAAGCTACAATACACCAAGCCCATTTCTACCCTGTATTTTTATTTCCATTCCCCTCTGCCTCCTAAGCTTCCCTGCCTTCTCCCCTTGTCCTTAGGCAAATGCTGCTCTCTTTGGCTCAACAGTACTTACCTTCCCAGTACTATTGTTTGCCTCTTAGATCGTCCATTATGCGGCTGAAAATTGAGCAATGAGATGACTTCCGTTCCAGTTCTGATGAGTAGCTAGGGCCCATAGTCTAGGGGTTCCACCAGCCTCTAGCCAACAGAGAAGCCTGGTCTTTTTTTATGATTTTGAATTTTGTTCCCCATTTTTCCTGTCTACAGTTCTACCCAGAACCTTCTAATACCTCCCCTTTCCAGACTGGTTGGTAGTGATAGCCAGATGCCAGCTAGCTAATCTAGCTAATTTATCTGAAAGGGAATTTATTTTCATGTCCTAAAGCTTTATTTTGTATTTCATGTTTATATGTGGGGGGAGGGGTGTTATAAAATTACAATAAACCTCATTAGTTTCTATTTTAGGCCAAATTATATATTTGAATAACCCTTGTAGTCAATGCATTGTTAGTTTTACAGAGCTTCTTCTAAAAATCAGCCTGGGCAGGAAGTGAGGAAAGGAGAAAGTAAGTCCTGTGTCACAGCTCCTCTTTTTTTTTTTTTAGACTAGTCAAGTGCAGTAGTGAGGGGGGGTAGACAAATAGGTCGACCAGTAATTGACTGTAAGCAATCGTTGTGAGATCTCACTACCTTCGGACCAGCCTCACAGCTAATCTTTTATCATCTGTGCTCGGGTTGTCTTCCAGCTTTGTGTGTTTCATCCGAATGGATTAGCTCCAAAGTTCTGTTAATGAAGTCAAATGATAGGTGGTGAACTATGTGAAGAAGAGCTGTTTTTAAGGTTTGTTCTTGTTTTTTCCCCGATCCTTCAAGGGCCCAGGGCCATGCATTTTGACACCCCCCTGGAGCAGGGAGAAACAAGTATCATTAAGAGGCATCCACCTCGAAGACTTCAAGTAAGATGAATTTAAAAGGCTTCATAAGGAATTTCTTGGATTAATGGTAACATTGCTTTTTAACTATAAACATCAAAGGATATTGATCATGACCAAGATGTCAATGAATCCATTATTTAAGAGGAGGTTGTCAGTAGCAAAGATTATGGTTCTTTAGAACTAACTTTAAAAATTACGTCACAAGAGGAAGCCAGGACTGAGACATGGTAGGATCCACTGGAACAGAATTGATTGGATGACGACAGAAAAATAACTTTTAATAACACAACAATAACTGTTATCTAATTACTACCTCGTGCAAGTTAACTATTATACTAGCCAACTTGATGAAGGCATGTCGTTAATTTGATCTTGATAGTCCCCACTGAGAATGATTTTAGACGCATGATTCAGAGTTAAGTAACTTGCACAAGGACGCAGGCTCCCCAAAGCCTGTGTCCTCAAATGCAACGTGTTGGCAATCGCTAGCGTCTTTCTATCACAAGCATTTTATCCGGATGGATATTAACTTTTGGGATTCCAAGGCAGCAGTTCCTATCATTCCTACCCTCCTTGCCCCAGCCTCGGACTCCCACCTCGGAATTCTTCCCCACGGTGGCTCTCACGTTGGTCTCTTGGCTGCCGGCCCCGCGATGACCACACGCTGTACATCCTAGGTGCAGGGGGAATGTGGTTAATGGAGAATAGAGTACCGAGGAGTGTCAACACAAACAATAAGCAAAGATAGACATTATACGTTTGCTATCAACACGCCTTCTTTCAATTAACTTCAGACTGAGAGTTTCAACTATCCTGAGTTCCCTGCAGAACACTCTTTCCAACATCGGCGGAGGTCAAGTCTTTGCACTGGCGTGTTTATGTAAAAATAGAGATTGATATTAAGCTGGTTAACAAATACAAATCAGCACGTTTTCTGAAGACGGAGAGAGAGAGAGTGGTTGCACTATTGGAAAGTAACATTGGGACCCATTAGGGGCCTTGCTGAACACAACTCTGCATTGTTGCCTACTGATCTGAACTTTTACCAGGATGCCCTATCTCTCAGGGTCCAGGAGCTTACAGCAAAGGCAGGGCATAAGCCAATAGCATGCTAAGTAGTGTGTGTCTATCTTGTTAACTTACTGGTCCTGCATTTATGCAATTTCTTTTTCTGTGCAGAAAGCTCAAATGCTCCAAACGCCACATAAAAACTAGACACCTGACTATCTTAACCTTTCATGTGTCATTTGTATCTAAGAGATGAGAAAAAAATGGCTATTATTTAGGTATTACAACTCACTGAACCACTCTCCCCTTTTCCTCTAGCTCAGTGGTTCTCCACCTTTCTCATGCTGCGACCCTTTCAGACAGTTCCTCATGTGGTGGTGACCCCCAAACATAAAATTATTTTCATTGCTACTTCATAACTGTCATTTTGCTACTGTTATGAATCATAATGGAAATATCTGATATGGAGGATGTATTTTTCATCGTTCCAAATTGAACATAATTAAAGCATAGTGATTAATCACAAAACAATATGTAATTCTATATTGTGAAATATTTATTTCTAATGACAAATCAATGAAATGTTGTCTTGAAGCATGGTGTAGCATGGGTAACAGTGTTCATGTCGGGTACTCATATGTGGGCGTATCTTCATGTGGGCGAACCCCCCCTGGAGACGGATAGAGGAGCCGTGTCTTGTTCCTGAGACCATCGGAAATGCGTGTTTTCTGATGGTCTTAGGCGACCCCAGTAAAAAGGTGGTTCGAAATCCAAAGGGGTTGAGACCCACAGGTTGAGAACCTTTGAACTAGATCTTTGTAAATATTTTTTTCACATACATGCATTTATGAAGTGTATATATATATATATATACACTGATATATATATCAGTGATCTCTCTATATGTGTGTGTATGTGTATGTATGTGTGTATATATATATACATATATATGTGTGTATATATTTTTATATACATATACATATTTATATTTTATATTTATATATTTTATATACATATATTTTTAAATATACATATATATATATATCACTTCCATTAAGTCAATGCTGACTTATAGAAACCCTACAGGGTGGGGTAGGACTGCCCCTGTGGGTTTCTAAGATAGTAACTCTTTATAGGAGTAGAAAGCCTCATATTTCTACCATGGAGCATCTGGTGGTTTGGAAATGCTGGTTTTGAAGTTCGCAGCCCAATTTGTAACTTCTACACAACCAGGACTTTCCTCTTTTTTTTTTTTTGATAGTTTAAGAGGTTTATTGGATTCAAACTCAGACTCAGCGCTGAGGGACCACACCAGACTCGGTCAAGTGCTAGGTGTGGACCCTGAGCTTCTACCAGGGACAAGCTTTTATAGGAATACAGTTTACTGGGTCACACAGAAAGAATGTGGAACTTTGCATTATCTTTTAGCTTGCACCAGCATGTGGTTTTTCTAAGAAGCAGCAGGGCACAGAAGCAGAACATTTTGCAGTTAAGCTGACCTTTACATAAGCTGGGGTCATCTAGTTTTCTTCTGGTTTTTTTTTTTTTCTTGTTTTATTGCAAACCTAGAAAAACTTCAGCTTCTTTATCACCTAGAACAGTGGTTCTCAACCTTCTTGTTTTTTTTTTAATCATTAGGGGTTCATACAACTCATACAAAGTCAGGGCATAAGCCAATAGCATGCTCAGTAGTGTGTGTCTATCTTGTTAACTTACTGGTCCTGCATTTATGCAATTTCTTTTTCTGTGCAGAAAGCTCAAATGCTCCAAATGCCACAATCCATACATACATCAATTGTGGAAAGCACATTTGTACATTCATTGCCCTCATCATTCTCAAAACATTTGCTCTC